TAACCACCGAGCTGCGGTCACAGGCACAGCATTTGGGAATGCAGGCAGGCTGCAGAACCCACTAGGATAATATCTGCTGTCTCCTAACGTTGCCACACTTTGCTAGCCTGTTCTCAGAAGACATGCATCTCTCAGGTTTATACCTCTCTAATCTCCTACTATACAAGCATCATTTCTTTTCCTTGTGGGGAATAGGATTGTGCAGTGTTTGCTGAGCACCAACAAGGGCTTGAGAGCTGACTTACCCTCGCTGGAAGGCTCAAGAGAAAGACAAAGTTTTATTTCAAGAGGTGACCCTGTGGTGTCTCATTTATTAACAGAAGATGTAATGTTGTTATATTGGGGTCTCAGAGGAGCCCCCTGTGAAGACTGAATGTAGGACCTTTAGATCCAGAGGCCGCAAGCTGCTACTACTTGAGTTAAGGACCAGGCTTCCCTGGCGCCAAAAACAAGATGTCTGGAGGGAGGAAACCTCATATGGAGAAACTGTGATGTGCCATGATTTCAAATTAAATCTCATCTAACACAATTGTTCTGACATCTGCTCCATCCCTGCGAGCCCAGTTGTGCTGAGAAGAGCCTGTCAGCCCGCGCTTCCAGATGTGCCATGCTCTTCAGGCAGCTGAATAGGGCATAGCAACCACTAATGGCTCAAGATGGAAGCCAAGTAAATTTAAATGAGAAAATAGACACGTTTTTCCACGACAAGATTGATTAACCTTTGCAACATGTTTCAGGAACGGTAGGGGCACTTGATTCCTCATCCCATCAGGTTTTCACATCCAGATGGAGGCTATGCCCACGTCACAAACTTGCTGTCGCTTCCAGCTGCTGACTGTAAGATGCACACAGGACAGCTGTTGCCCATGCGTCCTGCCTGTTGTAGAAGGCTGGCTGGGCAGAAGAGTAAGTGAATGGTGGGTCAAGACAGGAGCCAACCTTATTTTAGTAAGGGAGTCCATTTTAGTTTGCCAGTTTGTGTGTTGACCAGAGGCCTGTAGCATTCGGGAAGGTAGCTTCTGCAAAGTAAGATTTAAGGCCTGACTTCCTTTCTGGAAGGTATGCTCTAGCCAAAGACAAACACAAGCTGTCACACTCAATACAGCTCTAAGCAGATGAAATTTAAGGATCTGTGACGGATATAGGAGTTTGGAGTAGATAGCCTAATCATCTCCTCTGATCTCGCACCTTACAAATATACCACTTGGCTAATTTTCCATAGCATCTTTCTAAGGAAACGCTAGGAAATGTTTTCTACTGTGAGAAAATGACAATCTAAAGGGTGAAAATTGAAGTCAGCAAGTATCTCAGCATGCTACAAGGAAAACAAGACTATCTCAGAAACAGCACAGAAAGATTGAAAAGAGGACTCTCCTAGATGCTCAGAGAGGCTCAGAGGTGATGGGGTGGGTAGGCAGAGGGAAAAGCAGCTATAAAACGAGAGAAAGCATCACAGAATTTTGCAGACAAGGGTGGCAATTCAGAGGAGCTGGTGAAGGGGCAAGAAAGAGAGGCAAAAAATACTTACTCTGCCTTGATATGACCTTCTTTTACACCCAGTGGAATTTCTGCCCATTTTGCTAAGAAAATAAAGCTTCCTGCAGGGAGTCCAGTATGGGTAGTGGAGCCTGTCTCTGTGATATGGGGGTGCACAAAGACACCTTTTGAGTCCCTTGGGTAATACTCTTGTAATAGCTGGTAGACTTTTGTTTTCTGTAGGTTTTTTTCCTCTGAAAATGTCATTTTACTACAAAACATTGAAACTGTCTTATGCCACTTCAGGTAAAATTTGAAGAGATCCTTTTTAAAGTTTTTATCCCAATAGCACTTAATTTTTCTGCTTAATTGAATATACCCAAAGTTCTGATAGAGACAGAGATTCAAACAGAACACTTTGGATGCCCTGTACCGAAATGCTTTGACCTGAAACAAGAGTTTTTGAGCTTTCCTTGAGAAAAGAAAAAGTTCTTGCCCATCTGGAACAGGATTTTTCTTCTTTCTAGGCCTCACCATTTTTCACAGATCAGAAAATGCAATTTTCTCAAAATCTTTTTTTATGCAACTCCTGCCCATCTGACTAGGAGCGCAACCTGGGGACACAGACCCTGCACTACACCTTTGTGCTCAACCTTCCTATTTAAAGAGCTTAGCTTGCTGTCAAAATAGCTCGAGTCTTGTTACTGGTTAACAGTCTCCCTGTCATGGTCTTCACTTTCCAGCCACACCTAGGTGGCAGAATTAGGTCCAAAGATAAGGAACAATCTCAGTATGAAGAGTACGTGTTGTCTAGCAGGGCCCATGGTGGCAGGGCTCACATCCTGGGGACTGGAGGAGATAGATAACTAGAGCTGTGAGAAGTGCTAATAGAAAAATGAGGCTCATCTACGAACTGTTGACTATTTTCCCTGCTTTGCTGCTGTAAACAGCTGCCTGGTGCATGTGAAGTAGAGAGAGAGCTAGCCCTGGCCCTTAGGGCGAAATGGTGCCTGGGACACAGCCTTTCTTTAGCACACTTTTCCTTTCTCCCGTCCTTCGCCACACACCCTGTGGCACGTGCAGCCTCTTTCCAAGGGTGCACAGCAATGCCCGCAGCCTGCAGCGACGGTGCTATCCTGGAAAGCAGCACAGCTCACTGCCGCTGCTGTTGGCCTCGGGCCCCAGAGCACCCTGTGCTGCATGTATCGCACATCACCCAACCTGGCCCTCAGCGAGGAGCTGACACAATGGGCCAACTCGCCCCGGTCAGGGAATGACGCGGTGCTGCCTGTGTGCTTTACCCACCACGTTGCTCACTGGCTTTGCAGAGAACTGACGATTCAGCATTTCCCAGGGCAGCCAAATCCTCCCTTTCAGCTTCATGGGTGTCTACTTCGTATACAATCTGTAAGAATTGAGTATCTGACTATCTAGGTTCCTGAACTACTTCCTGCCAGGATGTATTTTTAATGTGTTCAACACTGCATATAACAAATCCTGCTGATATAGTTGCCCTGAACACATTTCAGAGGCATCACATTTAACAGGCTGTCCCATTTGGAGATGTGGAAAGCAGGCTGCTGTATCTCTGTCTCAGGAACTCTGTAAGTAGTGCTGATGCCATGTGTTTGATCTAAGACGCCACAAAGGTACACAAAATGCCTTCCTCCCGGGGCTGGGGGGCCTTTCTCCTTTGCTCTTCAGCTAGTTCTTCACTAGCGTCCCCAATTGTCAACCCGCGAGAGTCAGCTCTCCAGGGAAGGAGCAGGCAGGACGCGCTCGTAGGATGGAAAGGCTTGGGAGAAGGAAGGGCAGGGGGCAGCGGTTCAGAAGGTAAGTGCATGTCCAACTCTGCTGCATCTGATGCTGCCAGTCCTCCCCATCCTCGTGACATCCTACCGTCCCTGCGCCTCCTTACGCTCTGCTCCCCTGCTCACACTGCCCTGGCCGTTCCTGCCGCGCATTGCCCTCTTTCCCATCCTGCTGCTCGCAGGGGCCCTTTCCAGACCGTGGTCCCTCTTGTTCGGCTCTTTGCAAGCCACTGCCTCTCCCTATAGACTCTCCCCCAAGTGCAGGACACTTCTTAGGGAGAGTTAATAGTTTCTTCTTTTTATCCTCAGTTCCTCTCCATCTCACCCCGTAGCTGCCAGTTGGTGTCTCTCATAGGCTCTTGAGTGCAAACTGCCAGCCCCATGCTCCCTGCACTTTCCTCCTTTCTTGTCATTGCCTGCAACACCCCCACCTTCCCTCAGGCCTACAGTTTGGAGTCTGTTTTTTATTCTTCTTTCTCCATTGCCTGATTAAGTGCATCAGATGAAGCTCCCAGAAGGACTCAGTGCTGTGTTTGATTTCCTCAGTCCTACAATATCCTACACTGCATCCCACCGTTAGCCCCAAGTCACAAATGTGTGCTAGAGATGCTGTAATGAAGGTTTGGTTGTGCATATACTAAACCTGCTGCAAACAAAGCTCAGTGCTGTTTGGATCACGCTAATCATGTAACATTACAGCGTTGGGCAGGTGAAAGCTTTTGCAGACTGACTGCTACATTATTGTAAGTCTTCTCAAAACTGCCTTGTGCCACAGACCTTCTTCTGGTCATTCCTGCCAGTGGTATCACCTACCACTTGTGTACAGACATGCAGGAGAGATTTCTGGCATGGATTTTGTATGCATCAGGCTGCCGCTTGGGGACTTGGAAATAAATGCAAATGAAAGACTGAGGTTACTTCTCAAACCTTAGTTGCACAGACTAATGATAATGTTCTGATTATATATGCTTATGATATAGCTTCAAATAAAGATATGAGAATGGCAGAACTCAGACTGGGATTTGTAAAAGTTGTCCTATCATTTAAACAGTCAGCAGTGCGGACAAAAGCTGTGCTTACTTTTTCCAGTGCTTCAAATTAGGAAAACGAAGGTGGGAGAATTGGATGGTTTTGAAAAAGGAAATTGCTGCAGAAGGCCTTCAGCTCTAAGTTACGAATTCAAATCTTGTCTGAGAGAAACATTTTCAAAAGCAGGTATAGACTATTTTCAGAAAGGACACTGGAGCTCCTTGTGACATAGGATGACATAAATGTTTGAATCATTTTTTTAAAAACTACTCTGACTACTTCTGAAAACCTTACCCCAGTGCAGTAGCCTGAACTATTATCTGCAAACTATCTGTTCATCTTTTCTTTGAAACAATTTTGAGACAGTTTTCCTTGAATACAATTCTCTATTTTAAAAAGTCAATATGACATATTTTGACTTTCCTTGTTTGACAATATCAAAGTATTTCATTTCAATACTGTAAAACATGATTGCTTCAGCTTTGCCTTCTCATTTTGTTCTGTGTGGCTTTTGCATTATATTATAATATTTTAATATTGTAGAGCACAGGTAATGTACATATAATACTTAATCTCTTGCATATGTTTTAGCACAATCACAATGAAAGCTTTGAACTTTATCATAGTAAAATGTTTCACTAGCTCCAACTCAGGACTGGATTTTTTTTTGAGTTTTGATTTTTTTTTTAATCACAGATCTTCAGCTTTTTTCCTTGATATGCAGCAAAAACAACAATTGAAATGTCCAATATTCTCACCGAATAAATGTTCTGTTTTCCACAGATTTATTACTTGGAGTCTGTGAAATGAGAGATTTCAGCCCAGTCCCCAGTGGACAAGCATCCAGTCTCCAAAACGACGCCCTTATGTTTGGAATGACCTCATCGTGCTGAGCACTTCAGGATGCGGTTCCCCATTATGGTTTGTCCTGGGGTCAAAGTGAGGTAAGAGGTTCTCACCACATCCTGCCTCTCTTCGCCTCCTTCTTCCAGTCGCTCGTCAGGCAGATGACCCCTTGCTTTGTTGTCCAGCTTTTCCCAATTTTGCATGGTCCTGCTCTAAACTGGATCAGTGAAATGAACGGGGTCAAACAAACAGCAAAACTCCCTTAGAAAAACAGGGAGTGGATTCAGGACGGAGACAGAGCTACCTGCTGCTCCTCTACGTGCTGCTCTTTGTGCTCATTGTCAGTGATGTTTGCTGTTTATCATCTTGCCATTCTCTTTCATTAAAATCTCATCTAGTCTGAGACACTGCAATATTAAAACGTCAGCATGCCCATTTTGCTCTCTGAAATCCTTCTTGAGAGACCCGGCAATGTGAGCGTCTCTCCAGGACGAGCTACAGCAGAGGGTGGCGGAACAGCTGCCCTACCGCTCTCTGTGCAGCCGCACAAAGGACGGAGCCCATTCATCCAGGCTCTTCCCCGGCAGGAATTCCACTGGGGAAAACCATGAGATTTCCCCTGCCCCCAGCTTTCTTTTATTTTGCCTTTGACAGGGCGTTGTATAACAGGCCTTGAAAGCATGCACCCACGAACAGAGCCACCAAGGGCCTGCTTTCCCTTTGGTATTTGACAACAGAGAAATATGGGGACAATCTTGCCACTAGTCCTTGGACCTAAGCCTTTAAAAATGCACAGATGAAACCTCATCTCCGGCTCCCTGCTTAAAGAGGGCCCCAGGCTGGGTGGGGCGAGGGAGCCTTTTGTTGCTCCCAGTTACGGACCTATTTTCAGGGGGGTCACCCCAAGTCCTTCCTCCTCCTCCCCCC